TTGCCCATAAGTAAATTGAATAATAGCATATGATGTGATATTATATATAATAGTATTGTAACTTAAATTTTAACTGAAAATTATTTATATAAAAATTTAAATTTTTTATAAAATATAAAAAAAAAAAGATTATTTCTTTTACTACTGTAAATTTTGGAAGATCAATATTTACCACTTAGCCGGCCATATTTAAGCATAAGAGGAGAATATGCCCTGAGAATAAAATAAAGTGCAATGACACTTACCAAAATAAATAAATAAATAATAAAGTGTAATGATAATAAAATTTGAATTTGAATATTTTATATTGGCAAAAGATATGGGCTACATGATATATACAAGAGAGAGATTAAATAATTAGATTTGTTTGTTGATAATCAAATAAGCACTGAGATTAGGTCACAAGCACTACACGCCAACCAAATTTTAGGGCCATATTTGGTGGTTGTCTAATAACCATTCATAAACAAAATGAAGTAAATTTTTAAATTAGAAAAAAATAAAAAGGTGATAGATTGTTGAGTAAAGGGGTCAAACTTGGTTGGTATTAATTTAATAGATGCATTTAATGGAGAACAAATTTCAACTGCTATTGGGAAAAGGATCAACCAAAACCGTCCAAATCAACGTGTTTGAAATTTGAAGATAACTAAAATACTATAAAAATCAAAACAACCTGATAATACTAGAAACCTCCATAATTAAGAAGATAATTACAATACCTAGCTACCTTCCTCCATTTTTAATAATTTCTATAAAGGAATTTCAAATCCTATCTAATTATAGCCAGCACAATACGTATCCACAAGCAATTGGAATCAACTAAAGATGTCATAGATTTGATGGACGACATGTTTATGTAAAAGCTTTACAAGCGTGTTGTATCCTTACAGAATATAACTTTTTTTAAAAAAGTGTATGTTTGATTTTTTAACTCCATATAAAGTTTTGAACAATGATTTTTTTTTACTCATCATTCTTATATTTAAAAAAAATTCAATTTAATATTTAGAGTTTAAAAATATTTTGTCAATATTTAAAAATTCAATATTACCCTCTTTTGTTAGGAATATTATGGTTCTTTTCCATCCAAAAAGAGTATTATGGTTAGATAACTGAAAAACACTCAATAAAATTGAAAAGTCAAAATAAAATTGTGTAAAGTTAAGACATAATGTGCACTTTTTCACTAAAAAAAACAAATTAGATCATGAAAAACTTTCATTTATACAATAAAAGAAAATTATGCCTTTTGAAAAAAAATTTACTCTTCTTAATTTTTTTGGCCAAGTTCGAGTATATTCTCAGATAAAAGTAATTCGTATTGGCCGCATTTTAAAATACTCATTCATACAATAAAAAAAATGATAAAATTAGAATTGGCTTCAATAATACTTATTTGAAGCTTGAAAATGAATATTTTTCACATAATAATATGCTTAAAAATTGATAATAAGCACGAATAATTTAATCCAAGGAAAAAAAAAAGGAGAATTAATAGAGTAGGTATATACAGATGCGATGAAAGAAAGAAAAATTAATGAAGAGTCCTGAAGTCATGGTCCCTCGTTATAGAGTAGGCACAATAATGGATAAGTTTTGACCCAAGTACAATACGTGTGCTCACTAATCAAACCCCAAACCACTATCCCCATCACTCTGATTAAAAAATTAGTTAAAATAAACATGTAGATTTAAATTTTTTATTCAAAATATCTTTATTTATGGGAAGAGCATAAAAAAATTAAAAAATTATTATAATAAAAAAATTAAGAAGGAGAGAGAATGTGTGATAAATAGAGATGATAATTTGAAAAAAAAAATGAACATATTGAGTATTAAAATAGATAATAAATACGGTCAAAATAAAAAACTGTGGCACAGATTTAAGATAATTTGCACATATTGTTTCTATTTAGAGATAAAAAGAAATGGTAATTATTGTTTATAAAAAAAATACAATGAGGTATTTGCTTATTTTCTATAATTAAAAAAAACGTTTTAAAAAAATAAATAAAATAAGAGGGACAGACCATTTAGAGAAAGGAAGAGAGGACAACAGAATCTGTCAGCAACCCGTAAGTCTTATGTTGACTCAACTTTCACTTTGTGGGCGCGTGCCACTGCTTCACTTGCCCTCCACTTCCTTTCTCTGCTTTCATCACAACTTTTGATTCTCTGCTTTTATGGCTCAATTCTAAATCTTTTTTTTTCAAAAAAATAAAATCTTAAAACTTGTTTAGAATGAAACCTTACTTCTTTTTTCTTGTGCAAAAATAAAAATAAAAATCCTAATTAAATTTTCTTATCGATTCATTGGCTGATTTGATTAACTCCAATTTCCCTCCACATCCTTTCTCTGCTTTCATCAATCAGGTCGGATAACAGGATGATCGTTTGTGCTCATTAGTCAAGCTAGTCCTAGTCTGGTCCATTTTTTTGGATACAGATATCTTTTTTTTAATTAAAGAGAATCCTAATTAAAATACCGTTAAGTACTAAATATGAGTACTTTTTTTTAAAAGAGACTCTGATATTGATTTGTCATATATTATAAGAAATTAGTCCCTTCCACTATATTCTATGGGCAATTCTGGTAAGTAGTTAAAACCTTGCATTGGGAGGGCCCAAGGCCCAAACTTTCCTCATTTTATCAACTTCAGCGACTTCTTGGTTTTTATAGGTTGAACAAGATATTTTTAAATTATGTCAGATTTGAGACTAATCTTTTTCAAGTCAGAGTTTATGTTTTTTTCCCCATCTTGTTAGTTGAACACCTTCTTTTTCAATGATGATAATGAGTGTTTTTTAATATTGCAAATTTATTTTTTAATTTAATCTCATAAAATTTAATCATTTTATTTGGTTGCAAATTGTCGGGATATATTTTTTTTTCTCAGTTCTGTTCTACACGATGATCATCAATGATTAATAATTAACTAATACGATTGGATGCCTTAACTTAGCCTTAACGGGGACATAAAAATGCTCCCAAATTATTAAGTAACCAAAACTTCCACACGGACATGATCATATTTCGTTGCAAGTTTCAATGGAGATTGATTTAGGGCTCCGATTGAATTTAATACTAGGCCACACCATTCTTTCTCCTTCCTCCGTTGACTTCTTACATTGCTACCAAACATGGCCTAAAAAGTCTGAGGAGGGATATTTGTTTGTTTTTTGGTTATGGAAAGAGCGCATATATTATATATATATATATATATATTATTTCATATCTTCTTATTAGAGACAATTATCACCGTCAAGTACTAAATATGAACATCTCTTTCATTAGGGATTTGAATTTGATTTAACACTTTGTTAGGATTAGTTTCTTTCATTAGACCCAACCCCAATTGATAGAGAGCACATATATTTGTCTTTAGGGAGTGTTTGGATAGAATCAAAAATATGGTTTTAAAAGTAATTTTACAGTATACGAAATAAATATATAGAAAAGTTTATTTCAATTTGTGAAAAATGATTTTTACTAACCAACACCCTCTAATATAGATCTAGTTGAAGGTTTAATTTGGTGCTACATATAATATTTCAATTTATTTTATCTCTCAAATTTATAATTTTTTTCAAAGTATTCTTATTGATTATATATTTAAGGGGGTTTTTGTCTAATGATAGTCATGATTAAAAATCATATTTTAGAAAAATTAACTCATATTTATTACAAATAACTAATTTAACTTTTTTTTTTCATATATTCAAATTATTTAAGCCGGTCTGAAAAATTGGCAGTGTTGAAAAGTGAGATGCAGCACTTACAATTAACTAGTCGCCCAAAAGAAAAAAACCTACACTTGAATAAAACCCCAATACCTGCACTGGAGGCCCAACAAGGCCCAGGTCAACAAGGAAGATGATACGCTTGAATCAGGATGTTCATTTTTCAACATATGACAACAATTTATCCTCATCTATAGGCCCGGAATTTTATTTGCTTTCATTGTTTCTTTTTTTTTTTTAAAGGAAAATCACCCCAAAAAAAAAAGCGAAATTACAAAATCACAAATTGGAAACTGTTACAGGACCTTCATATGTTTTGACAATAATAGGATTGAAAATAACAACACATTTTTGACAAAATACCTGCTTTGCAATCTCACGAATTTCACTGCATTTTTCTTTTTTGGTGATTTCCCCTCTTCATCGAAGCTGAACACCAAAGGTTGGATTTTTTTTTATAGATTATGATTTTAAATACTCCCTCCACCTTTATTTTTAAACACTCTTTCTATTGATCTTTAATATAAATTTTAAAATCATACACAAAATTTGTAATATTTATCAGGAATAATTTTTAAGAAATTTAAAATTTTACATTTAATTAATCATAACTACCTTCTTTAATTTAAGAGACAAGGTAGATGAATGTCTTGTATTTAGAATCAAATCTAACACCCCAACTAATTTTTATATTAAGAACAGGAAGGAAGTAGTAGTTCAAATCTTCATGAGAATGATGCCTAACATGCTTCTTAACAAGTAAACAAAAAATTCTTTACATATTGTGGAGAAGGTTCATTAAAGACATGATAGCCAAAAGGGCATAGCAATTTTCATTACATTGCATTACAAGTCAGCCACTTCAAAATAAAAAAGCATATTAATTTCCATTACACATGATAGCCAAAAAGAAGTTGCTTACATCAAAAACAAGTGAAAAGTGAAATGCATTGTCAATCAGATTTCCTTCGTTCCACCCTCTCTCTCTCTCTCCCTCTCTCCCCATTTAGATTTTCTTCTCCCCTTTCACTCTGCATATTTCAATTTCAATTAAAATCTGTCAATTAATTAATCAATTATAAATGAGAATGGGTGAAACTGTTAACTAATTACCTTGATACAAAATCTCCGGCTAAAGCTTGGAGATCCCCATCATCATCATCATCATCTTGATGCTGAAGATCACAAGGGTTGAGCAAAGTTGAGAACTGAAATGAATTAGTTGGATCAAAGGCAAACTCATTGGTAGAAGATGAGGTTTGAAGTTGGGGTAGAGCTCCGACCCCTGCCGCTGGCAGACGCTGCAGTGTTGAAAGACGAGCTTGCACATAAGCTAACTCTGCCTGCAAGTTCATCACCTGCCACCAACAACAATACTTGAATTTGGATTACTTTGAATTCTAGTTTTATAAACTACCAACTACAAACTAGATCTTATCTTTAAGATTGAAGGTAGTATTTTAATACATATTGTATTACAATCTTATATTTTTCAAATTGGAGGTAGCCTTTTAATGTGTATTACTTCTACAAATGTGTACGTACAAAATTATCACTGTTTAATCTAATATGTTTAGATGAAAAAAGTTAAAATGAAAATAGATGTAAAGGAAACCATCGTGCTAGTCAAATTATCTCATTTATTACTCTCTAATAATGGGGTCACGAGCCCATGAAAAGAAGAAACAGATTCAATTATTCTGCAATAAAGTTAAAATATTGTTTTAACTCTCAGGAAGAATAACAAAAGGTTCCCCAAAAAAAATTAGTTATTAAGACAAATGAGCATTTATTATTTACTATCTCAAAACTTGTCATTACACGTTGATTTGTTATTATTAAACTTTCTAGTAATTATAGTTTTTACTTGAAACTCTGATAATTCTCCTTAACTTTTATGGTTGTCACGTTAAGTATGAGAAGATAACTTTTACTAGTTATTTTTTTTTCTTTGCTTTTTTTCTTTCCTTTCTCTTTTCCTTTCTTGGTCAGGACCCTAAATATAAACATTGATTCTATCAACTTTACTCATCAAATGCTTGTTAAGATGTCTGTCTAAGGAATTGAAAAGAAGACAAGTCCTTAAAATCCACGATCGAGTTTGTAGTTTAAAGACCAACCCTCTCCAATCATGATTAAAATGATCTAATTAAAATATATAAAAAATATTCACACACACATATAACCGTGAAAAGATATATTCAAATAAAAACATATAACACACCAAGTAGATGATCATATATAATATAACAAAATAAAAGTTATCAAAACACAAATGTCAAACGGTTGGTTTTTCCAACTCAAAACAACATTTTACGGTTGGTAACGGGAAGGGGGGGAATCTAACAAGACCAATCTGTCCAAAATTTTAGGCTTTTTAAAAATGATTTTATAATGTATAAAGCAAATATGTAAGAAGAATTTTATCTCAACTTATGTAAAAGCACTATTTTTAAGTGTTTTTAGTGTTCTTCCGAACACCCCCTATACACGATCCGGATTAGATTTTAATATATACCACGTGTATATCACACTGCAAGTTGCCTGATCTTCTAATTAATAATGTCTGAGGAGTTCAAGTTATACAAACCATGACTCAGCTGATCTTTATGAACTTTGGTTTTTTTAATCAGAGATTTTGGAATTATACCTAATTAAAGCTAAGGAATCCATTGGTGCATATGTGCCCAATTATATAAGGTCCCAGGATTCAAGATAATACGCCATAGTGCAGCGTGCAACTTTTGAATTACTATGTAAATCTCTTTACACACACACATATTGTACTCTCCATGGCTGAGCTTGCCAATTATTGCACTTAAGATTTTAGAATGTACTGCATTCTCTGTAGATTATGCATTAATCCATGTTCAAAGATAAGCTCAAACTTGACATCGAATCAGCATAAGATTATATCATATTTGTATATCAAACCTTATCTACTACGAACGTAAATCCACCAATAACTTTCAAGATTTGGGGGTAACTAAATGTATAAAAAGAGTTTTGTTTTTTACTTAGGGGTATCCAAACTCCTCCATGTCTTAGAAAAATGAGTTTTATATTTCATGAATTTCTTTGTTCACTACTACGGGAAAAAGAGATTAAAGAAGTGAGAAAAACAGGTTATTATATATAAGTTTTTTTTTCTAACAGTGATTATAAGTTATGTAATATTATATATAAGCAGTTAAAATTTTATGAACCATCACATTAAAAATATACTTTTTTAAGCATCAAATGGCAAGCACCAGTGATTGATCAGCCTTAAACTATTATACACGTAGAACTTCCTTCTCTTTAAAGTTTAAATAGAAATAAGAAACAGAGAGATTATTAATATAGCAGAATTTAAAAAAAAAGTCATATCTTTTTCACTTATAATTTTTTTGGGAAGAAATTAAAAATAGGATAGATAAATTATAGGCTTATTTATATTTGGGTAGGCATGTGGCATTGCGTGCTACAAGCTTTCGGGCTTAAATTTTCAAAAGTGAATAAATAAATAACATAATTTTTCGTTGGAACAAGCACAAACAGTACATTTTAGGTGATTAATCAATTAACTAACTAAATAATAAGTTTATGCATTATTAATTAGTGTTGAAAGTCAAAATTACATATTAGCCCAAATTACAAATATTATTTATTTATTTCTCGAGCAACTAATTAAAGTTGCTTAGTAGCTCCGGCAAGCAAACCTCTATAGTCAGACTCAGACGGCCATTTAGCATATGCCACTTCTCTCTCATAAAAATTATAAATTACATAATTAAATAATTGATTTTTTCCTCAATTAAATAATTCTATTGTAGATAACTAGTAACATGAATTTGCGAATATTTATTAGTCGAAACCCTGATCTTTTTTCCCATGACCCATTGGCTTCAGTCACCCCACTGTTTATAGCAAATCTAGTTTCTGATTTCTAATAAATTTAACAAATTTTGTGTGTGGACTTTAACTATATTAAATCATAAATTAACTTCATTCAATAGTCCTAAATTTGGAAACCCTCAACATGAATTGAAAGGACATAAATAAAAGTCATCAATTATTTGATTTAGTTAATTTTATTGATTATCCATAAACAAACTACTGAAGATCAAATATCGTACAGTATCTAAACAAAATAACAATTTTAAATCACATTTATAATCAACTAGCACTTAAAATTGTACTCCTCCGATCCTTAATATAGGACTCAATTTTTAAGTTGATTTTGATCCTAAATATAAGACCCATTTCTCATATTTATCAATTTTCTCTAAATTACCCCTATAGATACTCTCTCAACCATAATAAGTAGAAGATGAAAGGGGTATTAATAAAGATAATTATGGTGTTTTAGGAAAATGTGTCATTTTTCTTATAATTAACTAATTTACTTAACTTCCTTAATCTAATCAAATTAATTAAATGGGTCTTATGTTAAGGACCGGAGAAGTAATATTTAAAGAAGTGAGTTATAATTATCAATTTATCAATGCCCATATGAAATATCGTTTTTATAGCTTGCAGTAGTATTTAGAATTTACAAAGCACAACTCAATCGTAATAGTAATTTCAAGTTTTTGAATCCTAGTGAAAAGTTACCTTTTTTTTTTTTTTTACCTCGGAGAAAAGTTACAAACTTCAGATTTTTTTCCTTCTCATCGCAGTCCTTTAAATGGCATGTTTCTTATAATACAAATGTTACGCAAATAGACAATTAAGAAGTGATAAATAATTAGTACATAAAAAGGGGAGCTTTGAGGTCTAGGAATTAGAAAACCATAGATAGGGGCCACGTTATATAGATAGAGAAGTGGCAGCTTTAATTTCTTAGAGAAGGGTGACCAAAATTGTCAAACCAAACAGTAGTAGTATTACACAAACGTCGTGCATCATGTGAAAACCTTGACCAACCCATTAGCACTTTCCTATACTTTCTCTTCTTGTCTCAAAACTTGAGCTTTAGATTCATTCCAAATGCCCCATGGATTAATTAATTAATTAACCACATGCACTCTCTTCTAGCTTTTCATCACATATTCTTATTTCTTAATTAATTAAATTTAGAGAATATGTGTGTTAACTTATTTCAAATGATTTTAAAGTATATAAAAGGGTTTTGCCCCTCAAAATTTTTTTTTTTAAAAACAAAAATTGATGCTCTTATTTCCCAAACGACCCTCAAGTTCTGTCCTAAAAATGCAAATCCCTCAAAAAAAAAAAACCAGCCAAGTACTTACAAGCAAATGAATGGAGAGAAGCCACTTCCTAGCTTTAAGTTTGAGAGACAGAGAGAGAGTCCAAATGAATTTTTTCAAATCATGGTCATTTTATTGGCTTTAGGTGTTGTTATGAATTAATGAAGAAACCCAGTAATATAAGTGGCCAAAGCAAGAGAAACAAGACCCTTTAATTTATGCTTAATTAATATACCAACATATTATCTCAAAGCCAAGCTAAGCAAGATTAGAGAGAGAGAGAGAGAGAAAATTGAAGCAAGAGTCATTGAAGGAGATAGATAGAGAGATTATGATATAAAAGTAGCTAGCAAATAGTAAGATAATGAAGAAGGTACACGTAACATACCTGTTGTTGAAGGGCGAAGATGTGGGCGACGCAGCCATAGACGGGATCTCGAGCCCTAGAGAGAGCCTCGTAGGAGAGAGTGATGACGGCGTCCAGACGGTGGTGAGGAGGGATTCGCAGCAGAAGCTTGGCGGCGTTGCTGGCTCCGAATACCTTGTGCACTGCCGCGAAGTGAGCCGTGCCTTGATCGGAGTCGAAGTAGGGTGCAAACACGCATCCCCTCACGCATTTTCGTCGAAGGAACTTGCACGCCCCACAAGGCCCTCTCTGACCACCATGATCACCACCATCCCCGCCATTCTTATTATTCTTACTACACCCACAATCCATCTCTCTCTCTCTTTTCTGCAACAGATCGATATGAGGTTGGTGATTGGCTTTTTGATCTTTTCCTTGAACTGGGGTTCAAGTAAGCTTCTCTTTGTTTTCGTGGGTGCTGAGAGAGAAGATGAAGCTGGGACCAGTAGACAGAAGAGAGGGTCTTTTGAGAAAGGGCCATGAGATGTCGTTTATGTATATATAGCAGGGTTTTGTTGGGAAGTGATCTCAGGGAAATTTGTTTTCATGTGTAATATCTATATTTTGTTTTTGTCTCTGTGACGTATTATGTGATCCTTAATTATGATGTTTTAAATCAAATTTATTTAAACAGCTCCATTTTTTTGGTCAATAAAAATAGCTCCAATTTAAAAACGAAGGGGTGATCAAATTACATTCAACATTTTGATTTATTTTTTAATAACATTTAGTATTCTAAATTAATTTAGAATTTATCTAACATTCTAAAATATTTCTTTAGTAACATTCTTTAAAAATATTTTAAAGATGAAACTGAACCAAAAATGCTTTAAATACTGGACCCTAAAATATGCTTTAGAATGTTGGACTTATTTTAACTTTTTAATTTGTTTCCTAGATCTCTATATGCTATTGTTATTCATAAATATTAGCATTTTTTATATTAGGTTAGTCATAATTTATATAGTTGGTTATAGCTTTAGTTAATTTATTTAGATAGGTAACAATCAGGAATTTTTTTTTTAACGGTGAGGAATACGTCATATATGTTTCAATAAATCATCATATGAGCTTATATATTAACATAATATATACACTTGATGATTGGTATGTAGTTTTTGTCTCTTTAGGGAAGAAAAAGGTGTGATGAAGAGAGGCTTTTTGTGGTGGGTCACGAGTTGAGATGGACAGGCACGTTAAGTTTCGATTCAGATTCAATTCATGAGCTTGAGAGCACACAGAAAAGAGAAGGAAGGGAAGGGAAAATGAATTGATATATAGGAAATTGGTTCGAAGTTTCAGACTTTAAAGCCACGCAAGCCAAGCAAGAAGGGAGGGTAGGGTGAACTAAAGATGAAGAAGAATAGTAAGCAAACACAGACAGAAGGTAAGGAAAAAGAAAAGAAGGTTGCGTGAAGCAAACACACAGACCCGCACACACAAATATGACAGCAGAAGAAAAATGAAACAAGTTGGCTGGTCTAGGTAGCAATCTCCGAGGGAGGCCACGTGGCAGACCACATCCCTATACGCCACGTGGGACAGTACAAAAATACAAACAGACAGACATCCTGATCCTATTCTGATTCACTTGTCACCTCTCTCTCTCTCCCTCTCTACTGAAGATGGCCGTGAGAAGACACTTGGCCACTCACTCTACTGTTATTTTCTTTCACCATCTTCTGACACTGGTTCTTTCTTTGCCACTGTTGAAGTTGCAGGTTTTTACGACACAAAGTTGTTTGCTGTTCTTGTCGATCTCTCTCTGTGGGGTTGTCACTGCCGCTTCGAGGTGAAACTGATTGACCCTCGTCTCTGTCTCTGATCTGATGGCTTCCAAATAAAACTTTACACCAAAAGCAAAAGATTTAACCCACTCCATTGCACGAGGCTCCACACCCATATATGATTGTTCTTTTCTTTTGTATAGACACACACTCTTTTGGACAATTGTTTCTTTCATCCTATTAAGACAGTGGGGGAAATTTTTTATATAAATATGAAATTTTACTCTCAACGTAGCATGGAATGATCATGTTGAGCGAGTTAATTTCCATAAGCATTAACTTAGTTAAAGTCATGTTTGTAAGTAACTGACCAATAATCCTACGTGATGCTCTTGACATGGATTTGTCTAAAAAATATAAAAAAGGAAAATCTTCTTTTTAACCGATTTCTTAACATATATGCTTTTAATCTTTAGAGGATTTTTTTTTATAAAGCATTATTTAAAAAAATGTTCCATATATGAAGATGAGATTTAGAGGTACTCGATCTGTCAAAAATCAATATAGAAGATGACCTTTATCCTTTCTTGGAGTGGAGGATATATGTCTTTGTTTCCATCTCCTGTTGTTTGCAAGGACGATATTGGTGAGTTACACGTCTTTAGCTTAAACATTTGAGGTTTCCCTTAACGACCAAGCATAAATTAATATTAATTTACTTTATGATAATCATTAGTACACGTATACTAGTAGCTATCGTAATATTTACCATAAATTGCGTAAGAAATAATACATCAGTATAAAATATAAAATGTATAGACAAAATGTTACATCCTTACGAAGTTTTTAACAAGAACATAAATTATTAGTATTATTTTTTAAATGTATCTGTACTAAATAAGGATAAAGTTAAGATAAAAATTTTTTCGATAAGATAAAATTATTAAATTTTAAAACAGAATTAATGAAATTTAGTTCAGTTTTATTAGATAAACTATGTTACAAGTTATTTATAAGTAGGATCAGAGAGAAGAATTATTGTATCTTGTGAAAACTTAATTATTTATTAATTCTCTTAATTAATAGAGGAGAAACACATTTTGACCAGGTGACAGCCGAGCTTAAAGGCAGATTGATCACTATGCCCCAAGAGGAATGATGGAATTAAGGGAGTTAAGTTTTGGATTGGGCTATAAAATTTATAAAATTAGGTCAACCCAAATATATAAATAGCTCATGCAACTTATTAATCAAAAGTCTCTTAGTCTAATAATGACAGGTGGCGTAGATAACTCGGCCTACCCCATGGCTTCCAACCGTACATATTAAGGGCCTTTATGCTTTTTCTTTTTGAGAGTGTCATATCGTTCACACTTTTTTTTTGGCCTTGAAAACTGTTCACACATCATACTAGCTGGGAGCTAAAACAACTTCTTTGCATTACATAGAGTTTCGAAAATAACAACATTGTTTACATAACTCATAAATAATGTGGTTTGTTAAAATTTTTATGATATATATAGGGATGATTTAGAAAGAAGGTGTCCTTTTAGATAGGCACAATTTTTTCAGATAAATAATAAGAAAAAATATTTTTGTTAATTTTTTATATGCTTATTTGTTAATTTAAACGATATTAGTTTTTACAGGATTATCGTCATTAAAGCTAAAGTGATAATACTTCATTGTTAACCAAAATTTGATAATTAAAAATGAGACATTTGACATTCAAATTTTCACTTCATTGTAACCATACAATGAACAAAAAGAGTATCAAAATGCTGGTTAAGGTGATAAGTGATTTTGTCTTTGTAAGAAAGGGAACATAAATTTAAATTTTAAAGAGCATATTTATCAATGAAAAAAATGACGCATTAAACGACGCATTCTAACTTCTGAATCCTGACTAATCAGTTGCTAAGATACTTGATAAATGTTTGAAAGCTAGAACCCAAAAGCAAATGCCCCGATATTGGATCATAGTATTCCCTTATGCCCAAAAAAAAAGAGTGAGGATATAGGCAATATAAGTGAAGTAACAATTAAGTGCAAAATTGATTGTGATTCTCACATTCACATGCTTCCTCGTATTAAAATGTGGGGACAATAGTTGTGATTCAAAAAATACAGGGAGAATTAATATTTGACAAGAAAATGAAGCCGTAGCAAGTAAAGAAGCAATAATTCTTTGCAAGTCTTTTTTTGAAAATTTTAAAAAAATACTTCTGAAATTTTAAAATCACAAATCAGAAATAACAAAAAAAAAGAGTGTTGTGATTTACTTTTCAGATATTATTAAATGTTATTAAAGTGTAATAAATAAGACTGATTTGAAATTTTGAAATTCAAATTTTTTTTGGATTCTTTTTTTTTTTTTAAGTTATGAAAGATATGAAAATGATATATACTACCTATCTCGAATTTTAATATAAGAGTTAGTTAAATAATTTAATAGATTAAATAAATTTTATAAATTAATTATTTATAATAAATAAGTGTTATTTTTTTTAAAAATATTCTTAACTAATATTAAAAATCTGAAGTAGTAATAATTATTTCAAACAGGAATGATTGGAACAGTGGCTAATCTATGAGCTTTATTCCAGATGGCATGGCTCAGTGCATAGTACGTGAACATTGACCCAAATCTATCACTTTGAATTGAGTGCCGCACTTTTGTTTAAACGAAAAAAATCGATATTGTTTTGGCGGAAAAGATAGCCTAAAATTTTTTGTGAACATTGTGCTTTTTTTTTTTTTTTTTTTATATCAAATACCATCGAATGAATTGGAATGCCAATAATTCCCAAATAATATCGCTTGCAGTAATAAATTTATAATTTTATATTGATATTGAAACATTTTACATGATTTTTTATACTATAATCATATATGGTCAAAATATTTAAAAAGTGAGATTAATTCCCTCATACTTTCTTATTGCCTGTGATACTCTCATTGACTGTTGTAATATAAACTAGAGGAGCTTACCCAAACGGCACTACTTACACCCACAT